CACTTTTTGTACTTTAGAAGGCGCTATCTTTTCGCTAGATTCCTCAAATATACTACCAGATGCACCCCTTTTCCGTGTTTGGAAGGCTTTTACCTATGCCTTTGCATCCTCAATCCTTTGGGCTTTCTCAAGGGCTTCCGTAAAGATATTGACCTGAACCGCCGCTAAAGCTTTCTGGATTTTCATATTCAATCCTTGTATGAACCGTCTCACTCTTCTCCGCTCCGTGGCCACCAATTCAGAAGCAAACTTGGACAGTTTGGTAAATTTAGTCTCATATTCGGCCATACTCTGGGTTCCCTGACGTAACCCAATAAACTCGTCTTCTCTCCTTTCTTGGACTAAAGGTGGGAGATATTTCTCGTTAAATTCCCTTATAAAGTTTGCCCATGTCTATGCAGTCTGTTCCCTCTCTCACTTTGCCCTAATAACATTCCATCATGCTCGGACTGGTCCTTCGAATTGAAATACAGCAAAGTTTACTTGTCTTTGCTCCGTATAATTCAAAGCCGCGAAGATATTAATCATTGCCTCCAACCACCGTTCAGCTATATCCGGATCAGGCCCTCCATAAAATTTCGGAGGTGGAAACTTTTGAAACCTCTCAAGAGCCCTATCCTCTCCTATCTCGGGATTCCGGGGTTGATTCACTGGCACTTGGCCTTGCTGATCTACCAGTCGCGCTAGAATATTTGTCATTTGTTATATTACCGTCGCCACTTGGTCTCCAGCCTCAACCCTTGGTCCATGTTCTTGCTCGGCCACTGTTTCTCTTTCTTCTCTCGGTTCTTGAGCTCGTTTAGTCCCACGGCCACGACCACGTCCGCGACTACGTCTCCCTTCCATACCCTTTTCCTCTCTCTCTCTTTTTTTTTTCCAAAAGGTGATTTAGTATATAATGAAATAAATTGACTAAAACAACAAGATATCTCACACTATATACACAAAGAGACATCTCAAGTTAGACAAATAGTCAAAGGCAGCAAGTACTATACATGTAGGTATTAACATACCATAAGCAAAGAAGTGTAGGAACAATGTAAGGGCAAAACGAAAGAAAACGCGACTTGTCGTCCCACACTCAGTTAAAATCACCCCCGTCCGGTCTCTTACTTCACTTTCTATCCGAACTAGGCGCTCGTTGATCTCTTGTACTCACTCTAGCCAAACACGAACCTATTCATGTTCCTCGGAATGAAATTCTCAAGTACTTAGTATCGCCCTCAACTCTGGAGTACTCGAGTACAAGAATCCGAAATAAGATAATTCATATCTCGAGCTGGCCAGTCCCAAGAGTAAATTACCTACAATCGAGATTCCTACCTGACGTACCTATCAATTGTCCTCAAATACCATAATAACCATTTAAGGCCTATAACAATACATGATTCATAGCTTATGTTCAAAAGAGCACTTAATCCTTCACACTTATTCACAAAATCAGGACCATAACACTACTTGGCCCAAGCTCACTCCACGCAGAGACCACACGAAGCAGCTCTGGGTTTTATCCCTGCAAGTAGTCGCTTAACTTTCAAATCAATCCCACAGCCCGGCATCCTAAACTTTAGCCTAGGATACACTACAGAGATCTGAATCCTAAGCTCTGATACCACCTGTGACGGCCCCACCTTCCCCTAGGGCGTACCCCAAGGTTCGGTGCGTCGCCTGCCCAAATCTCGTCGGGGCTCACTACAGTTCTCAAATAAATTACATTACTCACTTCCAAACCTAGGGTACGATCCTCAATAATAAACGAAATAACATTTCCCAAGTTCAGAATGTATACTTACATACATTTCCCTATCAAAGGTAGTACAAACCCAAATGTACAAAGGTTCTCAATTCTTCATACAACCAACCTTTGCCAAGCGCTAGGGCGAGAACCATTACACAAATTCAAAAGAACTAAACTGGGTTAGTCTGTACAGATCTCTCGTCCTTGCGCGCATCCCCTGTTAAGGAAAACAAAACTAACGGAATGAGCTACAAGCTCAGTGAGGTTCCGGACACACAATCAACTTAACCAAGGACATTAATCATGTAATAACAAGTAATCCAGGAAACATTGACAATATAAAACAATGATAATCCATTCATTAAAAGGATACATGCTCACATGGAGCCTTTCGTTCTTTCATTCACCCTTCATTTCCTTATTCCTCCAATCATTTTAAAATGCATTTTGTAAGTGAAAACTCCTCCATTGACTTTATCACTCGTTCATTCATTTCATTCTTCCCCTTTCTGGACATTGGCCAGACTCCACCCGACAACATGGTAATACTCGAGTATACCAAACTTTCACCCAGGGTCACCAAATGGCCCGACCGAGTCCGCTTCTGGCTCGAGTCGACCGACAACGAAGGGCAAGGGCCCAATTCAGCCAAACGGCTTACATTCATGCGCAACTAGCATTTAATCATTGAAAATTTCACATTCATTTAGGTCGAGTGCGATAAAGTACACACTCGCGTAGTAAAATTCATTTTAACAGCCATTGATAACAATGAACATTTAATCATACATCCACAACAAGCCACATAGTCAATGAAAACATAACAGACAAAGAACACTCACCTATTTAAGCAAAAGAACGTCCAAAGTATCCTTCCGGATAACACCCTCAATCAGGAAGGAACCCTAATATAATCAAAAGAACACATTATGCTTCAACCATCAAAAATGTAAGTGATTCAAAGAAAATTCGAATACGTACTAGTACAAGTATAAATATGATTTTGGAAGTGAAAAGAGTACATTTAAACCAAAGGACATAAGTAAAATATTATTAAAACTTATGCTCACTCGTAAAACTTTAAAATCTCCATTTGAGTCGAAGTGACAAAGAAAATGTATTTCTATTAGTCGTAAATTTCATTTTTCCAAGGGTACAAGTTTCGGCTAAGTTCTACCTTATATACCTCGATAAAAGAAGACGCAAATCGCGAGTAGATCTACCTAGCCCTCGAGCGCAAATTTGGACAGCACGCCCTTTGTATTTACCTGTTTCCAGCCATTTATGGCTTCATTCTTTTCCTCAATCAGTCCCAAAATCACACGCAAATAGTTTCATTACAATAGCCGTTCAATAGGCTCAACGTCATAAAATTACAAAACCATGCTACAGAAATGACCGGAAATAAGGTTTAAGGCAAAAGGTAAAAGACAGGTTCGACGTTTCTTAGTGTATCGGTCACAACCGAAGCTACGCTTATCGGATTGGGGTAACATTTATACCATTTCGAAGATAAGACAAAGGGCTACAACTTTGATGAAGACTACTCAATCCAGTTCATAGTGTATCCAAGTCAAATTCATCGTTTACAGAACCAGAATTTCACCGTCAAGCTGGTTAACAGCACTGCGTTCAACTGATAATAACTCAGGCTACAAAAGTCCGATTGAGGCATTTTCAAAGGCATTGGAAAGATAAAATATAGAAATACAACTTTTATGTTTTGGCCAAACGCTAATTCAATATGGAGCAAGGTGAAGAAACGCGGCCAGAATGTTGAAATGTCAAAACGGTCCCCAGAGCTCTACCTATGGCAGTCAAGGGTATTTTTGTCTTTTCACTTGTTACCGTGTTCGAATTGAGCTGAAATTTTACAGGAAGCTATAAAATATCATTTCCTACAACTTTCATGTTTTGAGCTAAGCCCAATTGGACCTCCATCATGGCCGAATGACACTGGTCAGAACAGGGTAAGATGAAAACCCTAAAACTGGAATTTGTGCACATAAGCTGAAATTTCTTTAGGTTACAAAAACTAGCATACCAAAGCTTCATTTCACCCAATATAAAGCTATCATTCCATGGCCAACCCTTACTCATCTCATGAAGGCAGAAAAATCACCATAAAAACTGAAATTTCCATAATACTACTTCAAACTATGAAATTTGCTCATAAAACTACCAAAACTACAATTTTAAACCACTAATTGGCAACTATTAGAAACAAAGAGGGATTTTGCAAGCAAGGTACCTTGGATCCTCAAGAAAGATGGTGGCTTAGAGTTCTTCTTCCCAAATTAGCTCCACAAACACCATGGAAACTACCCTAACTAGCTCTTTTATGGAGTAGTTTGCGATTTAATCAGTTGGAACTTAAGATTTGGACAAGAAATTGGAGTGAAAGATGAAGGTTTTTCTCTCTCTCTTGCTCTCAAATTTTCGGCCATAAGAAGGGAAAAATGGCTTGATTTTTAGTCAAATTTTTGTTTTAGTAAAGTTAAATAAGCTTGGTCAAAAGTCCAAGTTCCAATAGTTTTGTGACAAATGGTCCTTTAGGGTTTCAATCCTATCCTTATGTCTCCCAATGGTAATTTATCTAGCATACTTCTAATTGTCTCCTAGCACCTTATAAAATAATAATACTTAGCACAAAAATCACGTAATCACCAAAATTTTATCACACTAACGGGTCCCACTTCTATAATGCGTTTCAAATTTAACGTACACTAACTTATACTAGGAAAATGATTTAAAATTGTACTTGCTTATAAAAATGCATAGAAACTTTAATTTTTTAAAGGCAAGTATAAAAATGTAGGCAAAAATAAAATAATGCCTAGAAAATGTGAAAATTTTCGGGTTCTCACATGCACAGTCTGAGAGAACGATTCAAACTCTTGACAACATGTTGAGAACCTGTATTTTGGATTTTGAAGAGAGTTGGAGTAAGTATCTGACATTAGTGGAGTTCGCTTATAATAATAGTTTCCATTCATCCATTCAAATGGCTCTGTATGAAGCGCTCTATGGTCGAAAGTGTTGATCTCCAATTTGTTGGGATGAAGTAGGTGAATGAAAGATTTTAGACCCCACTGCAGTGCCTTGGATTGAGGAGGCACGAGAAAAGGTGAAGTTGATACGTCAGAGGATTCAAACCGCACAGAGTCGTCAAAAGAGCTATGCAGATAATAGAAGGAAGGATTTAGAGTTTGTGGTTGGAGACCAAGTTTTCCTTAAAATTACTCCTCTGAAAGCGAGTTTGATGGCAGGAAAGGGAAAGAAGCTACAACTGAGATTTGTAGGACCATATAAGATTCTTCAACGTGCAGGAAATGTGGCTTATAAGTTGGAATTGCCACCAAATTTATCTCGGATCCACAATATTTTTCACGTATCGATGCTCAAGAAATATCATCCAGATCTGTCTCATGCATTGCAACCGAAAAATATTGAGATTGATGAGGCACTAACCTATGAGGAGAAACCGATAAGGCTTCTAAATTGTAAGGTGAAAGAATTGAGGAATAAGCGAATTCCATTGATGAAAGTCCTATGGAAGAACCACGGACTAGAGGAAGCAACTTGGGAAGTAGAACAAGAAATTCGAGAAAAATATCCAGATCTATTTCCGAATCAAGGTACAAATTTCGAGAACAAAATTTTCTTAAGGGGAAGAGGATGTGAGGACTCATGTTTTATTCTTAAAATAATTATTTTTATAATTATTTGCCTTAGTATTGGTTAATTATATTATCGTTACGTGAATCGTTTTAAAATTTCGCCTAATCGCGCGCGAATCAAAAGTTCGCGTATTTCACGTCGAATTGACTAAGTGGAGATTTAAGAAATTTATATTAGACTACTAAGAGTGAATAATTATAGTGTTAAAGGAATTACATTTGAGGGTTTGTTCACTTGTGCAACAAACAAGAGAGAAAAGTGGTAGTTAGGGACACTATACGCGCACTATTCCTAGTTGACTTTTGGACAACTTTTGGCCACAAATTCTTAAAGCTTCCAAAGGAAGCTTCACAAAACAAAACTCTCTCTCTCTCTCACTCCATAGTCTCGGCCGAATCTCTCAAGGAAGAAGAAGAGAAAAGCTCAACTCCATCTCACTTCATCTTGCTTCCATTTCCTTCACAAATCACCACCCAACTCTTAAACACCTTGGAGATTAACTTGAACTTGGAGAAAGGCTTCATCTTGGGGGATTTCTTGGAGGTTTTAGTGGTGAAATTTTCTAGTTTCATCAAGGTTCAAGAGGTAACCATCCACTCCTCTAATCTCTCCATTTAATTCAAGATTTATGGTTGGATTTGCAAGGGTTTGAAACCCTAAGCAAAGATAGGTAGAGGACTTGAGGAACTTACTTTATCTTGCTTTAAACTCTAAAATAGTGGCCTTGAAGAGTCCTTTAGGTAGCTGCCTTGAGGATTTGTTGTGTAGTTTGTGTTGTTTACGTGTTCTACGAGTTGATTATGGTTAGAAAACAAAGAGAAAATCAAAGGAAGTTGGTTCATGAAGATGGCCGAATCTGCCCTGTTGTTATCATGCTTGAATTTCAAATTTTTGGTATTTGTTTGGCTGTGAAATTGGTTAATATATGTTGTATATTGTGTGTAGAAAGTATCTACCAAAAATCATTTGATTTGGTTGAGCAAAACTTGAATTTTGAAATTGGAAGAAATCTGGAAATGGGTTCTGGCTGTCCGAACAGTAACTCTTTGATCGACGTATCTCTTTGTACAAAAGTTGAAATCAAGTGCCGTTTTGTGGCATTTGAAACTAAACAATTGTAACTTTCCAACGGTATAAAACTCACCTTCTAGTTCGAGCTGAGTGAGCGGTAGTGATTCGGCAAAGTTTGTTGTCTTGTTCTTACTGTCTATCCGAGAGAAAGGTAAAAGCTGTATATTGTGGCTCTGTTTTCTCTCACTTGTGAACTGATTTTGAAAACGACTTGTTCTGATGAAATATAGAATTTTGAATTTAGTTTCCAACTCCACCAACCATTTTTAATTTGAACTTGTATTGAGTGAGTTATGGCCCGATTTTGAAAGTGCAATAAAGCTGGAAAACGAAAGCTTTGCCTTCTTGCTGGCCAACTGGTCTAGTTTGTTGTGGAATGTTCTAATTAAAAAATTTTGATGTCAATCAACCATCAAGTGTTTATTAAAGGTTTCTAGGACCTTGGTTTAAAAAATGGATCGAATTTAGACTGATTTCATTGTGCAAAATGTTTGGAAAAGCAAGAAAGGCAGGAGGACAGATTTGCTTTGAAATATTTTCTGAACTTGGTTGTTTCGTTAACTATCTTTCCGTAGGATTTTTTGTGTGAAATTTGATAGATGAGTAGTCCTCATATGCAACTTTAAGTGTACCAAATTTGGTGTTATTCTAAGACCATTTTGAAACCCAAATGATGTCCCAAAATTTGCTTTTCAAATCTGGAAAATTTCTGAATAGTGTACAAAAGTCAGCCGATTTTAAGCTACTATATCTCTATGGTCAAAACTCTGAATTTAGTCCCATTTGTCCTGTTTGAAACTTTGTTAGGAACTCGTATTGTGTTATGAATTCAAAGGCTAGTTCACTTTCTGTGAATTTAACCGAATTTCCAAAGATTGCCGAAAAACATGACTGAAACTGTCTTGCTTGTTCAGAACAGCCACTTTGAGTTGAAAATTGAATGCCTTCCATTTAGAATCTTGGAAAAGTGTCTTCTAGGAACTTTTAGTACTTTGAACCTAGTTTCTAATGGTGTAAAGTTTTCCATTTTTGGACGTGCCAAACTCAAGATTCGATTTTCCAAAGATTGTCATGCAAAGCTGAAATTTCCCGCGTTCTTATGAAAATGAGTTTTGAGAACTCGTTACTCTTTCTTGATATTGATCGATTGTTTTAAACTTGATTTCATGAAGGAAATCAGTTTCTCTCGTGTTATTAAACCCTCACTTTTGAATCTCGATTTTTGAGATATTGAGGCTTTTGAAGACATTGTTTTAATTTGAAAATGAACGTACATTCTTCCTTGTTTGGCAAGGAGTCTGTAAGTATTTATGGGTAACAGTTAATTGTTATGTTTCTAGGCGTTCAAGAGGATCTTGAAGAGAATCCCGGAGCCGACCATTAAAGATTTTGTGCACTTACTCCCTTATTGTGATTTGGTAAGTGTCAAGTGTATGACTTGTTGCAATTTTGTGAATTGCTTCTTATGGATTGAATGATTGATAATTGTTGAGTCGAGTGTGTACGTTATCGCACTCTGTGACAGCCCCACTTCCCCCTTAGGCGAACCAGAGGGTTCGGCGGGCCGCCTGCCCAGCTCTCGCCGGGACTCAGTCGTTCACTCACACAAATCAGAAATAGAACCACAAGAAAAACAAAACGAGGATCCAAAACTTAAAACAAAGCTTATATACATTGCTATCTCAGAAAGAAGTACAACCGTCGAGAATACAAAAGTTCTCAAGTCACCATACAACCAGCCCGTGCCAAGCACTAGGGCGAGAACCATTACAATAGAACTAAACTGGCTAGTCTATGCTCTCATCCTGCTCGCCGTCCCCTATTAAGGAAAACAAAACTAAAGGGGTGAGCTAGAAGCTCAGTGAGGTTCCGAACACATATACAAGTAATAAACCCAATACATTAACCCATAATTCAAGAAAAAATTTACAATACAAAGCGATAAACACATTTATTAAAAGGATACGTTCGTTCATTCGTTCGTTCGTTCTCCTGTCATTCCCCTTATTCCTTCATTCGTTTGAAAATGCATTGTTCATTTATCAATAAAACCCTCATTCGTTCGTTCATTTCATTCAACCCTTCCTGGGCATTGGCCAGGCTCCACCAACCTCCACCAACCTTCAAGGTAATACTCGAGTATACCAAACGTTCACCCAGGTCACCAAATCGCCCGACCGAGTCCGCTTCTGGCTCAAGTCGATCGGTAACAAGGGGCAGTGGCCAGTTCAGCCAAAAGGCTTACATTCATGCACAAGTAACATTTCAATCGTTCAATCATTGAAAAGTTCACAATCATTTAGGCTGAGTGCGATAAAGTACACACTCGCCTAGAAAACTCGTTTTGGCTAATCATTGAAAGCGTTTAACATGTTATCAGTCATATATACAAGCCATATAATCAAGAAACATAACAAACAAGGAACACTCACCTATACAAGCAAAAAAACGTCCAATTCCTCAATCACCAATGAAACCTAAAATTAAGAACATATTACAAGTTATCTAGTAAATCAACTAGGTAAAAGTAAAGGAAGTCCGAATAATTACTAGTAGGACGTATAAAGATGATTCTTAAGTGAAAAGAGGGTATTTGAATCTGTGGTCGGAAATAATTAGGGTTTCGTAATCCAAGCGAGAAACCAAATTCGAAAGAGTTATAAAATTTTCCAATGGAAATCCTTGAACTAACGAAAAGTCGGAATCCAACTAGATAGGCTAAGAAATATTGTTTTCGGAATCGTTTATATGGTTCAAAATCATCTCATATTCAAGTAGATATTATAGACTAAATGCCTTAATGAAATTCATGTAAAAGGGAGGACAAAATACCCAAGAAAAACCCTAAACCACTCCTCTTTATTTGGGTAAGAGTAAGTAAATATTTGGAGTTTCCAATTAAAGAAGGATCATGTTTTAAGATGAAAAAACAGTCATAGGATTTTCCAATCGAAAATATATAAATTCAAATAGAAACTTAGCTCTTAAGCGAAAATTTGGGCAGCACGCCCTTTGTGTTTACCTATTTTCCAGCCATTTATGACTTCATTATTTTTCCTCAACCAATCCCAAAGTCATACATATCATAGATTCAAGTCAATAGCCATTCCATAGGCTCAAAACAATATAAGAACAAGAATTAAACTAATAACAAGTGCGGAAATGAAGTTTACAAAAGACAGTTTTGACATCATTTTGCGGTTTTGGCATCATTGGCACTACGATTATCGGATGGAGGTGCAATACACACCGTTTCGAATCTAAGAGATAGAGCTACAATGTTGAAGAAGGCCACTCAGTCCAGTTTCCAATGCAACCTAGTCAAATTCCCAATTTACAGAACCAAAATCCAACTAGTCGGCTAATTAACTGCACTACCTTTAAATGGCTATATCTCAGGTTACCAAGGTCCGATTAAGGTGTTCTTGGAGGCGTTTAAAAGCTAAGACAGAAAAATAAAACTTTAATGTTTTGGTCATTGGCTAAATCAGTACGTATCATAGTGAACAAACACGATTAACTGGATGAATTGTCGAACACGGGTCACTGGAATGCATCCTAGGGCAGCGAGAGTATTTTGCCCTTTTCTCAGTCTACGTTACTCTGATTGGGCTGAAATTTTGTAGGAACCTATAAAATACCATTATCTACAACTTTAATGTTTTATACCAAGCCTAATTCGGCCTCTAACTATGAATACTAAAACCGGGCAGAACTGAACTGAAATTTTCCAGAAATCTGGGATTCTTGCAATCAATTGCTAATTTCCTTATTTTTGGCTTGCTTCACTACCTTAACTTCCCATATCAGATTATAAACATCAAAGCCCCAATTTTTAAGCACTAGAAAAATTATAGGAAAGCTGTAAAAATTCCAATAAAAATGGAAAAATCATGATCCAAGCCTCTATTTCACCACATACATCAATAATTCAACCATATGTGACATATTTAGCATCTAATCGCGAATTTAATCGGAGAGTCAAGGTTCTAGCATATATACCTTTCCAAGGAGACTAGAAACAAGTGTTTAAGGCCTTTGTTCCCCAAGAAAATTACACCGGTAGGTAGCCCTTGTGCTAGATAACAACTTAATCGGTTTAGAATTTTGTTTCTCACTTGGATGGTGCAAATCAAGAAGAAAATGATTGTTTCTTGCTCTCCCTTTTCTCTCTCTCTTGTCTCGGCCAAGAAGAAGAAGAAATGAGGAAGAATGAGCTAGATTTGGAAGATAAGAAAGCAAGAAGATTAGGATTAATTTAGACCACATGTTGGCCAACACTTGGCTCAACCACAACCACACAAATTTTCTCTTTCTTTCCTTGCATTTTAGCCACAAATTTCGATCAAGAGATATCCATGAGAGGGAAGATATTTTGCTCAATTAGTGATAAGCTTGTATGGCAAGAAGTGGTGATCAAGTGGTGGTTAAATTGGTAGTACACGGTACGCATCGGTTCGAGCCGTTTTTCCTTAAATCACACGTACTAGGGTTTTTTTTTTCCTTTTCACTAACTTTTTATCATTTCTTCTAATCACATATTATTTCTCACCTAAAAGTCACTTTTAATCACCAAATTTGATCCATACTCTGTACTGGATAATTACACTGCGGATACACGAAAATTCTTATTTCACCTTGAATTGAAAACGAATAGGAAAACCCTAATTTCCTATGACTTTTGGCACTTTTCTAGGGAGATTTAGCCGTAGGATGGTATGAATAATAATTACCAAATAATTTTCAAATAAAAGGGAATTTGAGAAAATATAAAGAATTTGCAAGTCCTCACACACTCGTTCTCTTTTAACTGATTGTATAACTGAATTGCTCATGACTGAATTGTAATTGATTGACTGAACTATAATTGATTGACTGGATGTCATTTGGAGTGACTCTTCTCGACCTATAACTGAACTGGGGGACGCCCAAATCTCAATTGGCCGACCTTGCGACTCGAACCAGCAAGGGCTTGGTCGAGAAACTTGGTGAACCATGAGATAACTGTAAGATTGATCTATTAAAAGATCTCGCCTACTCGAGTAGTAGTGCCGTTTATAGATGTACGGGCCCAGGGTGGTTGAAATGGTGGATGGAACTGTGAAGAAAGTGGAGTTCTACGGACTTAATGCCAACCCGGTTGACGGAGTGTCATCACGGGGAGGTATTTGATCGAGTTTTGGCAAAGCAAGTGAAATCTAGCTCCTGAGAGCTCCTGTATTCTCATTGAATGTGTTTAATTGAAAATTGTGAATCGCTTGAATGTTACTGCTTTATTCTCGCTTAAATGCTATTGCTACTTGAACTATGTGTTTGCATGTTTTCTTGGCCTCACTGAGCGTTAGCTCATCCCATTAGATTTGTTTTCCTTAGCAGGGCCCGAGATGAAAAGAGTTATGGAGAAGCCGACTTGAGGCACTTTTGATTAGGGTTTTGAATATATTTGACTAGACATTGTTAGGAAGTTGTGTATTTTGGGAAAGTGGTTGTATTTTGAAACTTGTGATGTAAGATTGAATATTCATGTATGGAAATGACTTCTTGTCTTTATTTCGACTTTCGTTCTTAGTCCTTATCCTTCAAGTTTGAACTGGAATTGTACTGAGTCCTGGCGAGAGTTGGGCAGGCGTCCCGCCTATACCCTTTGGTTCGCCTTAGGGAGAAGTGGGGGCGTCACACCGAGAGCTAGAGGAAAAAAGGGGAGAGAAAACTTCAACCAAAGTAGCGTCAATCTTGCTTGGATTTTGGGAGAAAATGAAGAAGAAAGCTTGGGGTTTCCATCAACTTTTGCTTGAGTTTGAAAAAGAGAGAAGATTTGGTGGGTTGAACTTCATCTTGGTTGGAAAGCAAGAGAGGTAAAATGCTAGATAATCCTTATTTCTTCACTTTATGTTGAAAACAAGTTGGATTGTTGTATTCAAGTCAAGATTTGTGGTGAATCTTAGAAGTTTCTTAAGTTAATGATACTTGTACTTCATGTTTGAGTTAGGGTTTGTATATGCATATGATTAGGGTGGTTTCTTGTTGAGATTTTGCCTTTACACATATCTAATGTTATGTTGGAAAAGAAACCCTATGGATTTGCTAAGTATGGTTGGTTGGATTTGGTAAATTAGTTGGAGAAATATTGGAAAAATTGGAAAGAAATTTCTGCTTGATGGCCGAACTTTAGGGCTGGAATTTCAGCTTTGAATTCTAAATTTTCATGATGATTTTAAGCTTATATAAGATTTTAGGCTACAAGTATGTGTTGGATTTGATCCAAAATCATGAGTTTTAAGTGGTAAGAACATCATCTCTTTCACTGTTTTCATGGCTGGAATTCTGCTCAAAGCTGACCGAGAGAGAGATTGACTTTATATAGCTTCGTTCTTGATTTTGTGTGGTGAACTTGGTGTATTAATGCCTTGAACACATGGTTGGACAATAACCCTGTTATGAGTAGTGAATTGGAGTGGAAATTTAAGAGGTGAAAACCTTACTTTTACATGTTTCAAGCAATAAATTTCCAGCCTAGGAAAACTTGATTTGGACAGTTTTAAACTCAATTTGGTGGAAGGAAATGAGAAAAGTTTTGCACTACCATTTGCTTAAATCATTGACCTAATGTATATATGGATGTTTCCCTTGAGTGAGCTAGAAATCATGTGAGTTGGGGTTGAGATTACTTAGTTGGTTTGGAAATAGTTCCTTTAAATATTATGGCTTGTAGTAGTAGATCCTAATGCACTCCATATACTTGATTCTAGGGCTTGGAAGTGAATCCGAAGTTGCTCCCGACGCGAACACTTAAGCTTTGTTGTCGTGGTGAGTGTCAAGTGCATGTTTCTTGATATCTTGATTTGAATGAAACCACGTGTTATGTGTTGAATATTGAACTTGATGAGGCGAGGGTGTACTTTATCACACTCGTCCTCCTCTTCTTGAATGATCTTGTACTTGTTTGAACTTGATTGACTTGTACTTGTGCTTGTGTTTATGCTTGACATGTAAGTGCTGAGTGGCAGCATGTACCACACTTAATCCGAGTGGGAGGTGCCTCTCATTCCCGTCTCAGTACTTTTATCTTGATTAAGTCAATTGGAAAGTTATCTCATCAACCTTAGTGCTGAGCTGCAGCATGTACCACACTCAATCCGAGTGGGGGTGCCTCTCATTCCCGTCTCAGTACCTTCATCTTGATTAAGTCAATTGGAGAGTTATCTCATCGACCATACTTGTTCTTGCATGGGTATACTCGAGTATTACCAAAACTCTTGTGGACGTTCGGGCCCGGTAGAGGGTGAAACGGTGGACGGGGATTCGTGTCAAGTGAATTATACAGACTTGTTACTTGCGTGGTTGGCGGAGTGTCAACAAAAGAAAATGATATCCAAGATCGTGGATTGGCAAGCTTGCGGATTAGCTCCTGAGAGCTCTTGTATCCTCTTAATGAACGTGTTTTAATCCTTTTGTGGCTTTACGTGAAAATATTGTTGTTATCCTGTACATGTGCTACTCGAGTTGAATTATGGTACATGCTTGCTTGCTTTCTTGGCCTCACTGAGCCTCCGCTCATCCCTTTTAGTTTGTTATTCTTTAATAAGAATTTGAAGTGAAGAATTGAATGTGTTAGACTAGCCAGCTTTTGTGTAGAGTTAGTGTAATTCCCTGAGCGACTTTTGGACATTTGGAAATGTAAATTTCATTTGTATTTGAAATATTGTAGTTGTAATAGTTTACGCTATTGCCTAAGGATTGTGGCTGTTGTTATTCAAGTACTTTCTTGGTTTTAAGAAATTGTTGAGCTTGAAAATCTTGATTCAGTTCGAGTGAGTACGTGAGTCCTGGTGAGAGTTGGGTAGGCGGTCTGCCAAACCTTTGGGTTCGCCCTAGGGGGGACGGGGCCGTCACAACAAATACTAATACTTCATTGTCACAAATTCCATAGTGTGATAAAGTATAGTGTAGTTTGACTCATATGATCCAAGAGTAAAATAACCAAGTCAAAATCACATTCAGTCCACTGTATAGTCTTAAATCGATTTTGTATAGGATTTGTGTCCCCGTTAGCGCTTCTAAACTGAAGCCACTTCACAATGGAGCATGTGTAGGACTTTCATCTACTTACCTACTTCTAACCCGAAGCCACTTCACATATGAAACAATCACCGTACAACTTTTACTGAATACTTATATGAATTCATGTTTGAAGTAAAATCTTCAAATGTGCACATATATGAGCAAATCATATTCATAATTGTGTAAATCAGGGAATGAAAACTTTATCAACTTAACTGTAAACTGTATATATGAGAGTTATGAGTTACTTATAACTCTCATTGACCAAGTACAACAAGATAAACGCATTACACATTTGACATACTAGTAAAACTATTATGGTACAAATAACTTGGTTAACAATTACTGACCATATAATCATTGTAATGAGTTTATGGACCACATTACATTTATCAATCCATTCCTTTACTTTAATTTAGAGAACTGTAAAAACTGAAACATCCATATAAGGCAATCAAAAATTTAGTGATCATTGTCAAGAACACAGCAGCGAAAATATCAAACTTGAACCAAAAATTGAATAAAAAAGACTTAAACCCTTAAAACAAGGGCCTTGTTTGCCAAGTAAGTTTTTGGCCAAGATTGTCTACTACAAGTTTTTTAACAACTTTAGTTACAGTAACCTCAAAAACTTCTCAAAATTTTTAAACTATACACTTCAAAATATCCAAAAAAATTGCAAATTTTAAAAAAATTTTCTACAACTTCTATAGTAAGTTATAGTAAAATTTTAGATAAACACGCAAAAAACTCACTTGCCAAACGAGGCCAAGGTTGCTCAATACGAGTCTTTTGAGCCATAAGTGAAGACAGACACATCCTCTATTCTATAGGATTTTAAATAACTTAATTGTCCATAGACTAGTGTCCGTAGTCTTAAATGCCATCCAAACTATATTTAAGATTTTAAAATGCTCAAAGAAAACAAGTGATCTTTAGTTTCTCAAAAACTTTATTATTGCATTAGCAAATAGCCAAAACATTAATCAATATTTGCCAAATTTTATCCACCCATGCAATTGCTATGTTGGAAAAATCAAGATTTACACAAGAAGCCAATATAAAGATCACCAATTATAAATTGTATTGAAATCAACATTCAATACTTAAAGATCAATTTACTGTATTGCCTTTAATCCCAATTTATCATCAGCCATTTGAGCTAAATCGACATGTATTTTCACATTTAGCTTTGAGGATATAATTAATGTGAAACATGAGCCCCAACCATTCTTTATTTTTACTATATAAAAAGCATGCCAGCTTCCCAAGATCTTTTACACCAAAGTTCTTGAAATATAATCTCTTAATCACATAAAATTTAAATTTCAGCTAGTTAGTTGAATAGTAAAATATAAAGTATGGGTGAAATAAATTTGCTCCCATAGGTCTTGAGAATGATCTCAAATGCCTTAATGAAATAAAACTGTAACATCATAAAAGCCCTTTAAAAACTTAAGTACAGAAATAGACTATATATAACGCAAGGTTTAAGTTGCTCTTGAAAATTTTGATATTTTCAAATGGATAATTTCAAACACAACATATTTGAATCTAAATCTTTTCCAAATCCAAATCTTACTAGAATATTTTGGAACAAAAGCATTGGGCATTCATTGGACAGATAAGGCTATATATATCATGCTCCACTTTCAAAAATTTTAGACTTAAGAAGTCTTATTACACTACAACAAAAATGGCCTTTAACGGCGTTTAACAGTATCAGTATAGATAATCTAACCTGACACTTTATCTATCCTCACACCTAGGGCGAGTGTTGTCCCTTCCAATGTGGGGATAGACTCATACTATTCAACATGTCAGGAAAACTATGCTGTTATAACATCCCATCTGCCAACAAAAATCCCTTTTCTTGATAATTGAAAGTGTCAGGATAGGTATAGTACAACATTAGAATATCGAATTCTATGCTGACACTTTTAACTGCCAGGAGTTTTTTTTTCTTTTCTTTTTGATATAGAAGCAACCTGCAGGTAGTGCTCCCTGCTATACATTCTGTCAATCAGAAACCCAAAGGACTTGTAAAATTATCCCCAAGAACAGAATCCATATAGTAATCTAAAAGCAAAAGTCAATACTCAAATATAATTTGTTGAACTAAAAGTCAGTAACAAATACTAACATAACAAATCCCTAACAAATACAAACTTGAAAGATTCTCATGTGCACAAACTTAAAAGATTCTCTTGTGCACAAACTAAAATATTCTCATCCCTAGCAAGTAGAAAGAACTTGCAGTAGCTTCCAAACTTTCCAATGAAATGAGAGCCTTCAGTCATAACCTGATATCTTTTGTGAGCCATCATTATTCTGCAAAGAAAGACAAGAAATAAAAAAATAAATTAAAGATATCAGCACCTAGCAATTACGTTCTAATGTAAAGTAACGATACCAAACAGGATTCATTTCATTCGAAATAAAGTTGATTGCTGAATAGCCAAATTTTGGTACCAAGCAGGTTTGCAAAACTTAACTGGCAAAAGCAAAGGTGATAACGCAAGTTATATTTTCTTGTATATCAAAAGGTTTTGGAATAACACACTGATCCAGTTGCCATCATTGCACTGAAATTTCTACTTGCTATCACCAAACATACTACTAAAGCAGCAAACATACTAAATAAAGAAGAAGAATGACAAAAAAGATAGATGTCATGATTGAAATTACCCCCCTTTAGAAGACTAGAATTTATGAATCTAGATGTAATTTTATCCTTTGGCTTAGCAATGAATTCGAACGTTTGACATAACAATCTGGGGAGAAAATGTGAAAAAGCAATACCTCTTCTTTAAAGTTTAGATCATAAGTCTTGTCTTTACCATAAAACTCAGAAGCAGCCACTTCCATCCCAATCACAACCTGCAGCAATTTCAAACTCTTCAAACTGATTTCAATACAGACTTGTTGAAATAAACCATACCACAGACAAGCACCCATCAAATAAGTTCAATTAGGATGTTCAAGAAAGCAATGGCTGGACCAATGCCAGAAGTACCATTAATTTTTTAGGCAAATATCTCACTTCCATTCTCACTCACCACATCCCTTTATTCCCCAATGTATTTAGCCAAAGAGGGGAAAATACCAAAAAACAAAAAAAAATCTTCAATTGAGTGTACAGATGAGTTTAATTGACAAGCTTATGTAGCTTAAAAAATTGGATAATATGAAAACTAGCAATAAATGAAGTCCACTAACCTCTAACCGAAAGGCACGTTCCTCATTGTTTCCCTTCTCTGTGCAACATCTTAATTGCAGCCACAGTGCCATCACTCAAAATCCCTCTATACACTACCCCATACCCTCCATTTCCTATCACATTTGCTGCACTAAATTTGTTTGTTGCAATCTCAAGCTCTGTGTAAGTAAAAACTTGTACACCCCTAAGCTTGGATGCAGCCTGCTTCCATACAAACATCCGCCTTTGACATCTGCTCCATTTTCACCAGCAAAACATATACCCATAGCATTCAAGAACAGTGTAACCAGTATAAACATCCATTCCAATACTTACTTTACCAGTGTAACCAGCTTTAGCAATAGTTGTTTTAAGCAATTCAAGACCTTCCTTGTTCTCCTGAAATGTCAAAGTCACAAAGTTGTAAAATATATGACAACCGAATTGAACAATGAGCAGGAAGCATATTAGCAAAATGCCATGAACTAACCTGGATATTAGAGCAATGTCACCCTCATCACCAACATTTGTTGCATCTTGGCCATACTTCTTCTTAATTACAGACTGAAGAAAGAGATCAGCAATAAACAAGCATATGTCAAAGCAACAGAAACACATCAAATGTGCTCACAGATATGAAAGAGGATAAAGCATCTTAATTACAATAATTCTATTAGTTTATATATTATTGAGTAAATTAATATCAGTACCAAAGGAAAGAAGGTTGACATTTTATCGAACAGGTTATGGACAACAAATCCAGTATAAAGGGTAGTGGTCACTTATGTGGGAGAAGCCGGGGTACAGGGCAGGGGGCAAGAGGAGCTTTTTTGGCATAAGACGAGAGCTGATACCTTTGCTTTCCAGAAACGCCTCGACACTAGCAATCATTTTTGGTACCTTGCTCTGTGCAAAAGGTTATTCTTATGAGAAGCAAATCATGTATAGGGAATTACTCGAGCAATATTATATGCCAAATTCACTTCCCATTTTCATATATGGGACAACGAACTTTCTTATTCTTGACTCGTGATGTGATTAACATAGAAGAAGGCTTACCTTTAGGCTCTCTGCAAGGAATGAGTGGTTAGCCAGTTTGTGTACTTTTGCCCATTTTTTCCCCTCATTTGTTATAAGCGGCTCACCTATTAATTTGATAATTTCTTTGCAATGCCTTCCATATCCATTTTCTGGTAAGCGCCTTCTCTGTTGGTTAGTAATTCTTTGATTAGCTCTGCATCTATTATAATTAATTGGGCTTGTGAACCATGCCAACTAATATATAGTTCTTACCTGTCAGCCGAAACAGAAAATCATGAAAACAAGATTGAGAATGAAGCAACTTTTAGAAGAAAAATCAGTATCGAACTTGAACTAGCATACCACAGAATCTTATTGCAGCTTACAGGAGTTAATTATTTTCACATCAGTTGGTTTACAGAGCAGGAGCAGGAAATCAGAAAATTGTACAATTTAGGGCAAAAAGTAACCATGCAATTACATACCTTCAATAGGGAAACAAAGGTAGTTTGATTGCGGAGAGATTCAGCAGAAAAAACTTTGTGGGGAAAGGAAAATTTTGGCAGAGAGCTTTGAGAGATAGTTTGCCGAGAGAGATGAGAAGAGCCAAAATTTTACTGGCCGGCAAAATGAAATTTTGAGATTTCACTAAGTGTTTTGGCAAAGGAATCTTCTGCCAAAATCAAACGACATCGTTTTATGTTTTAATTTTTTTGGTGTATCTCACATTTTCTCAAGTGTCATGATAGGGAATCTAAAGACACATTATTATTTTTATATCAGATAAAATAAAAAAAAATTAAAGTATATATTATTGATTTGATAACAAATGTCATGATAGAAGTGCTATAATGACACAAACCAACAAGTGTCCTTATACACGTGTCAAGAAAAGCCATTTTTGTTGTAGTGTTACAATATACTTGACCATATCTTTTGAGAATTCTTTAGATCACTTGACCACACAATTCATCTTAGAGTATCAGGGATTTTATTGAGCAATTACACTCAAAATAGTAAATTGAATATCAAATAAAAGGGTCCCTATAACAATGCTAAATGCTCATATTATCACCAAAATCATAATTTAAAACTTTGCTCAATTATCTTCCAATAGTTAAATTCTAGTTGACTCCAGAATTATTACAGAGATGACAACACTTTACTGTATATGGTAAGTAATAGGGTCCAAAACAAGTGAGCATTAATTAGACAATCTTTATTGCATAAAAACCCATGCCTTTAAAAATTAACATAATTAACATTCCTTCCTCTTTTTTTAACTTTTGTCTGTTTATACACCACTGATAAAATCTACCAAGGACATATATCCTATTAGCAAATGCTAAAAGTTAGGTGAGACATCAACTAACAAATGAAGGATTCAAAACAAACAAAAGAAACATAAATTTTTTATGTTAATTTCCCACACAACTTGAACTCACAAAGCTTGAATCACCACAAAATTGATATTTAGTATTTTCTTAATATCAAAATTATGAGTTGGACTGTGAGAACTCGGAAATTTATGTGTATACTTTGAATTTATTTTATTACGTTTAATCCGTTATTAGAAATATTACATGTAACAAATGAATGGGTAAATTAAATGCCTAATTGAATTCCTATAGAATTGAAAAATTTAGGAAAAAAAAAAGAAATAAAAGTTCCATCAGCTTCAATTATTAAGATTAGAATGAAATGATTTAATCTTAGCTCAAATGTTTTATAAGATCTTAAAATTTATATATGAACATTAACCTTGTTTTAGAGCTACCAAACCTAATGGATTTTGAAATAATATTGCTGAATTATGTTGAATGGTTGAATTGGTAATGAGATTAAGACTCATATAATGTTTTAGAAACTCTAAGGTAATTTGTTATGACTATATACACGAAATGGCTCCTAATCACTTAAATTAGTTTTTATAATATTTAAGAGACTATAAAACTTGAGAAGTTAAGGTTGTGAAACAAAATTTAATTCACAAACAACCTAGATCTTAGTTAGTCTTAAAAAGGAAAATGGAGTATCTATAAGCCATAATTAATACAGGATTGAGAAAGTATATTAGTTTAAACATTATACAAGTTTATAAACTTGAAGATAGGTATTTCATGGTTTAAAAATAATAAAGTCAATAAGTTTCGAAAATAAAATGATAAATAAATATTGAGAATGTTATGGTTGTATTTTAAGGTCAAACTTGATTTTAATAAGTTTAAAGTCGCAAATAAGTTAATTGTGCAAAATATTGGACTATTTGAATTTTGCCAAGTTAAATTAATATTTCTTGATGTAGGTTATTTTATTTTTTTAATATTAATTCCTTGAATTTCAATAGCTGATTTTAAGTGTTATTAACGTTAGATGTTAACAGGAACCTAGAATTAAGACGAAATCGTTTTAAGTCAAAACTTTTTATAATTACGCTTAGGACGTTAAACCTCGATAATTGAATTTTCGCGAGATTAGTACACTAGTAGGCTATCGAATTTCATTTGAGGTAAAATCTTGGAATTAGTTTACGAGTGAGAACCTAAGTGGAAGGTCGAACAAGTTGTGAAAAGACCAAACTGGCCCTCCACTATCTTGGATTTACCATGCAGCCACGGAAACCTTAAACAAGTTTCATTCCAAACATTTCCAATTTCTGCCGGTTCCATTTCCATTTCTTATTCCAGCACCTTCCATTCCTATTGCCGACTCAACGCCACTAAAACACTGCAATATATACATTCCACTAACCACAACAACTCCACTTCACTTCCATTTCCCTGCCTTGGTATCATCGACGAGAGTGAGAAAGAGGGAGCCGGATTCTTTGCTCTGTTCTTTTCTGTTCGTGAGCTAAAGAAAAAAAAAGAGTGAGACCTGCTATTCTGTATCCATTCCATCCGTGAGCTGGGGAGGAGTTTGAGTGCCAAACTTCCTTCATCTTAGTTGCGAGCTTGAGCAAGAGAGAGGAAGAGCTAGCGGGCTGCATTTTGGACTGCCGAGAGGAGAGAAATAACTTCAGCTGCCAGTCACGGGTATCAAGCCTAAGCTGAGGTAATATTCTGGACTGAAACTGACTGATCAAGGGTAGATTAAGCTATCTATGGACTTGCATGTGATGCTTGTGAGGTTGGATGAAGAATTAAGATTTAAGAAATCTGGTTTGGAAAGAAGTGAAGTTGCCGAGAGCTTGAGCTGGAAATTTCAGTTTCAATTTGTTAATTTATGACAATTTGAGCTTAGTTATGTGTTTAGCTAGCTAGAAACTAGATGATTATGCTATACGTGAGGGTAATCAGTTCGGATTGAGCAAGAAAGAAAAAAATGAAACAGAAATCTGAATGCATGCATGTCAACCGAGAGAATTTGGTTGAAATTCTGGTTAGATGGTGATATTTGATGACATTTGAACTTGGTCTTGGACCCAATCTGATAGATAGTTTTTTATTTGGTGTTGCATGTGAACTTTGTGGCCAGAAATCCGGTTGCATGGCTGGAAATTTTTATTGGAAACGGTTTGACTGCTGAATCAATTTTCCAGCTTAGCCGATGGAGTATTTTTGGAAGTTGTATGGATATTTTGGTGTGAAATTTGCTAGAAAGCGCTTGATTCTCACTTGGCTGTGTGTTTAACTAACTAGAATCTGGATGATTAAGCTATGCATGGGGTTAATTAGCTTTGATTAAGTCAGAAAATTGAAAAGATACAAAATCAGGTTACATGCAAGCTAACCGAGAGCAGGATTGATTGAATTTCTGGTTAGTTAGTGTTTTGATGTTATCCGAACTTGTTTATGGATCAAAGCTGATAGATAACTAATTTTTGGGTCATGCATGTAGCTATTGAACCGTGATAATAAAAAAAAAAAAAAAAAAGAAATCTGAATTTTGCGGCCTAGAAAAGGGGTTGAACATTTGATTAGTTTTTCCTTCAAATTTTAGCTAAGATTGTCATATTGGATGTTAAAGATTTGCTTGTAGTTTGCTGGTTACCTTTTTGCGTGTTGAGTTGAAGTAAAACTTGAAGAAAATTATGGACAAAGCTCTATAGCTACACTATTATATTGCTAGATATTGTTCAAGGTTGCTGGCCGAATTGGTTGGGACTTTTGGTGAGTTTATTTGATGAATTTGTGTATTATTTACTTTAGCTTGGTTTGGACAGATTATAAGCTATACGTTTAGTGTTCCTAGCAAGTAAAAGTTGGAGATCTAATGGGCATCTTGAATTGAATTTGCTGGAATTCTTCTTGACTAACAAAGCAAGAAAGGAAAAATCTGAAATTCTAGAGTTATTTGAGTGTAAGCTAGCCGTGACTTATCTTCTATGTTTGAGTTGAATTTCTAGTTGTTTGTTGCAAGGAGTGATTGTTTGTCGTCAAGAGCTAATGATTGATGAAGCTCTTGGCCATTTGAGTAGTTTTTGCAAGAATTTAATCTTTGGTGAATTTGTTCAAGTGGTTGGCTAAAATGTACTTGGAAGGTCCATGGTTTGTGATTTGGAATTTGTTTTGAATACCTTGGACTTCCTTTGCTGAATTTTGTTTGGAATAAAATCTGTTGAGACCTAGGGCTAATGATTGACGAAGCCCTAGTGA